TAAGTACTAATGAAGGATGAAACAAGGTGTTGGAGTGAAAAACAATGAGCAAAAGGATATATTTAAACATTAATGAATGGCTATAACGAAGTGTTCCAACACTCCTCCTACCTAAACTTACACTTAGTGCCTTCGTGACAAACTGCACTGAGTCAAAGCATTCTTTTTCTTAATACGAAGAGAATTTTCGGGAGAGTTCGAGTGGGTGATGCTCAACATATATTGGATACAACTTGTTTGGATAAGTTTTTTTTTTTTAAAAAGTTCGGATTACGTACTGATGTTACCAAATATTGTTCCCGACGTATACAAACCCGAGGACTCTATTTCGTCGATTTGTGTATCAGTATGCTTGGGATATATGTGCTCGGGATGTCTTTCACATGTCCGAGCTCTTGACCCAAGAGTTTGTGGAACGTCATTCGACGTGTCCTCGGGATTATGACCTCGACATGTCCCGGGCGTCAATGCCTTATCCAATGAGAAATTTATTCTGACTTAAACTCCTCAACCCATGTCTCCTATGCCCAGAAGAACTCTATTAAATAATTGGTATCCCAGTTATACCACAATTCAAACTCCTATCTCGCGTAGGACTCATTGGTATAAGATTGCAAAATCAAGCTGTCCTATTACAAGTGCACTACAGAATCCGAGTATGAACACACCACCTACCTCTATAAATACAAAGCCCTGAATCATTATTCAGGTATGTTTTACATAATTTTCAGTTCACAGCCTTACGTACAAATTCTCTCTCTGACTTAAGCATCGGACCGAAAGATCACGTTCGTGCTCGTCATCAATCATCCAGCTCGAAATTGCTCAGGTACGATTTTTGGTAGCATCATTGACGTCGTCTGTAGGAAGTGCTATCAAAAGCCATGGTAAACACACGTTCAGGTCTTCCACCAGCAAGCTCATCCGTTCCAAACCAACCTCCTCCTGAGGATATCCCTGTTCCTCATGAGGAATCATCAGAAGCGCCAGAGCCCCAGCCTGCACTCATCACTACTGGAGCCTTTGAAGAGCTCAGACAACAGGTCGCCACACTGACTCATCTGCTAAGTCAAAGAAATTCGCACCCGTCACCCACACCAGTACCCCATGGGGGTTTTATGGCTGATGCTCGAGCTCGAGCTCAACGACATGTCCCTGACAATGGCGAAGCAGGGGCCTCGGGCATACCACATGTGACCTCGGCCTCGAGATCAGTGACCATGGAGTCGGAGAACTATCTAGGATTATTCAAGAATGAATTACGGCGGGCCTACTTCAGGGCAACAAAGGGTCAACAAGATTCAGTCCCAACACTCCCTTTACTCCCGAGATATTGACATTTCCCTTGCCAGACAGATTTAAGTATCCTAGGATCAAAGAATATGACGGGACCACCGATCCAATCAATCATCTTAACGTATATACGGACGTCATGAATCTACAGGTCACACCGAATCAGGTGATGTGCAAGGCCTTCCCGCAAACTTTGACGAATGCTACTAGGGATTGGTTCTCGACCTTAGAGCCCAACTCCATAGCCTCATTTTCGGATTTGGCGAACAAGTTCTCTGCTTTCGTCGCAAGCAGTAAACGCATCAGGAAGACAGTAGCTTCCTTCATGCAACTTAGACAAGTGCAAAATGAGACCCTACGTGACTTCATGACCAGGTTCAACTAGGAAAGACTTCAGATTCCCAACCTACATATAACTGCAGCAGTTTCTGCTCTCACATATGCCATAAAGTGTGAGGCTTTCAAAATGTCGTTATCCAAAACTCCGCCAAAGACAGTGACCGAGCTTCTTACCCGAGCCGAGAAGTACACAAATATAGAGAAAACACTGAACCCAATAAAGGTTGGATCATCCCATGATAGGGTCGAGCATAAATGACAGCACGACCCGAACCCCCGTTAAGAACCACCTCGGAGAAAACAGAGACAGGAGGTTCCCCCGACGTCATTCACGTGTTTAAATACGTCAAAAACAAATGTATTGATGGAGATCAAGGATATGAAGGAACTCAAATGACCTGCCAGAATGAGGTCACCACTCGAATCCAGGGACATGAACACGTACTGTGAGTTCCATCGGGATCATGGGCATACCACGAAAAACTGTAAGGCCCTGCAACGGGAGATTGAAGCCCCTATTAAAAGAGGACTCCTGAGTTCCTACGTCGGTAATGACAAACGCCCGAGGAACGATCGTGGTAGGGAAAGAGCCCCTGAAGCAAAAAGGGATGGTCAACCCACTGCTGGAACCATCAATATCATCATTGGGGGTATTGCCTCGAGATGAGACTCGAACAGTGGAAGAAAACAATATGCCTGACAATATACCTTGGCCTCTGGGATGCCTCATGGAAAGCTGGAGGATATTACTTTTGGAACCAGGGACTTGGAAGGTGTATCACTTCCACATGATGATGCTTTGGTCATCTCAGCGATTGTGGCCAATTTTGAAGTAAAGAGAATCTTGGTTGACAACGGGAGTGCGTCCAATATATTTTCACAAAAGGCTTTCGCCAAAATGGAAATCTCATCTCAGCAGCTCAAAGCGGTTAAAACTCCTCTCCAGGGGTTTGGGAGAGGAGTCATCATTCCAGAGGGTGTCATCGAGCTGCCTCTAACTTTGGGTTCTGGCCAAAAACAGGTTACGGAGATGACATCTTTTCAAGTGGTACGTGTCTCATTGGCCTATAACGCTATTCTGGGAAGACCACTCCTGAACAAGATCAAAACCATTGTGTCTACCTTCCTCCAAGCCATGAAGTTTCCAACAAGTAATGGCGTTGGGGTCGTGCATGGAGACCAAACAGCTACCAGACAATGCTATGTTGCTAGCATTCGGAAAATAAATAACGACATCATGTAAATCTCAAGGACGGAGCTCGAGATCGGGCAACAAGTCAGACTTGCTCCTGTCGAAGAATTGATGGAAATCGAGCTCGAGCATGATAAGAAGGTGACGATTGGTCGGGATCTTGACGTCACCCTAAAGACAGAACTTATTAGTTGCTTATCTCGCAACATTGACGTTTTTTACTAGAAGGTTGAGGATATGCCAAGGATAGACCCCAAAATTGCAGTCCACAGGCTTAACATTAGCCCAGGGACCAAACCAGTAAAGCAGAGGAAAAGACAGTTTGCCCCAGAATGTCGAGAGGTCATTCGAGAAGAAATTAACAAACTCGTCAGTGCTCAATTCATTCGGGAGGTCCAATATCCCGATTGTATTGCCAATGTTGTTTTAGTGAAGAAGGCCAATGGTAAGTGGAGGGTCTCCATTGACTTCACAAATATTAACAAAGCATGTCCAAAGGATAGTTATCCCCTACCACGGATTGACAACTTAGTGGATATCACGTCTGGACATAAGCTATACAGCTTCTTGGATGCATTTTCTGTTTATCATCAAATCCTCATGGCCAAGGAAGATCAAGAAAAGACGTCTTTCATGGCCGATTCCACCATATACTGTTATAAGGTCATGCCTTTCG